ATGTGTAGAACAATTGTTCTCATTTAGCGTGTTAATGTTAATATAAAAGAGAGTTTTAATTTATTGATTTACTTAAAAGTGCTTTGCAATCCTTTCTGTATTTATTAAAAATGCTGCAGCAAGATTTTTATAATTTGACTCACAGGTATGCAAAACTGCCCTAGCTGTGGACTTTTTGCTTGATTACAAAAAAAGATATTTTTTTTCACAAAAATATATAAAACTAGATTAAACAATACAAAAAAAACACTTTTAGATATGAAAATAATATGATATCAATTTAGTTTCTATCCTCTGATCATGAAAACCCAGTATGCATGGACATTTTTTTCGAATACAACGTAGCTACCAGTATATGAGATATAGAATATGGACATAAAAAATGAATACGAAAATAATTATTTTGTCCTAGACTTTTTCACTATTACTATTATACTATCATACTCACTCGTAGCCATGACATATCAGTAGCACATGCCAGTAGAATGATAGATAGCTGCAGGATACATGATCGTTTAAAAATATCAAGCTAACCACAAACTGGCGCACATTCGAATGAACACTACTAATAGTTTTCTAGCAGATTTTTTTCTAATATTAAACTACATGGTATGACATTGTTCCTCTTTTTTATGTCTCTCTATCTTGAAAGAAAAACTATATTCTTAATTTATGTTAAATTAGAATTCACTTTTCAAATATATCTACTGATAATCTTAACATTCAGTTGATTCGCATAAATACGGACAATCACTTGTAGAAAGAGAACAGGTGGAGTAGTTTTAAATTTTGAAGTTGATGAACATCTAGACTTTTGCTGCTCTTCTTTACGAATTAAATCCGAGCTCATACCCAGTCGCAGACATTTGTCAAGACGACAAGCAGTACAATATCCTCGCGTTTTCATATTCACTTCGCATAATCCATTCAATGAACACGAACGAACAGTCTACGAAAATAAAGAAGCACAACCAATATTAGTTTTGAGAATAAGAAGAAAAAAATAATATAAACTACGAACTTCTGGATGAAAACTATTGCGACGAAAGAATGTTTTACATGATGAACAGGAAAGTGTACCATACTTGATTATCGATGCTTTATCCGCACATATTTTGCAAAACCTTGGTTTTATACAACTCTTCAATACTTTTGGAGATTTAATACAGTTGACCTTTCTCGGTAATGGTGATATAGACCTAGATCGTGTGAACGACATCTTGTTATGGTTTTTGTGAATTATTAGGTAAATAAAAAATATTTTTAAATATCTAACAGTTTATAAATTATAACACAAATTGGTAATTTGCTTTTGCGACAAAATAAGGAATTTTATCTGCTAGTTTTGCCTATCTCTGACAACTATAGTGACGCTACAATGATTAAACATATGTCCTTCGATTTCAAAAGTCGAAGTAAGTTATGATACATCAACACAAAGAATAAGTGATATAAGCTAAAATACTTAAGATGACGATATCATTATGAAACGATCAATTAGTTTTGTCCAGCATGAAAAATTTTGTGAAAATAAGAACTTGTTCATCTAACTAACCTAATTTCTCTTTACTTTAACTGGTAGAAAATCAAATACATGATATATATCATAGATTACTTCATTGTTTCATTTGTTTTGTACGCGACACGAGTAATTCAAATTACAATCAAGGTTTGTGCATTTTTCTATAGCAATTTTTAATAGAAAATATGAGTTTATGTTCTTCATCAGTCTTAGCCTTCTTGAGGAATCTCTTACAATAAAAATAACAATATGAATTAATATTTTTGTTTCACATAACATTTTATTCATTTTTCTCTATTTTACAGATCATCTATCAAGTCGACTAAATCTCAAGATTTATTATACATATTCAAAATAAAAATTAACCCGAAAGTATTCTGTAGTCAAGAATTTAAATGAATAGGAGAGGAAAATAGATTCATCAATGTTCTATTGCATGCTATCAGTTTCTTATTAGAACTCACCTAAAATCAGTAGAGAGTTTAGAATATTAATGAACGATAGAGAGAAACGCAGTCAAACATAATAAAGTAAGTATAGAAACATATTCAACGTAATATCATGATATATTTCATTCAATTTTTTGACAACCAATAAGCTAAAAGAAACTTCAGAAAATGATCAGTAAGACTACAGTGAAGATTACCGAATTTGAATGCTCTACAGGACCAAAATATACAGAAAATAAATATCTATATACAGAATTTCTTTGAACACGATTAAATAAAACATTTTTCACCTATTTATTCTCATACGCAGAATATTTTATAGTTCTAAGAGATAGAAAATTCCTACAATAACATAAGAGTTTATGTAAGCGTAGAATTTGATATTCAAAAAAACATAAATCAAAATTTTCTCAAGTGATCATCTTTTTCTTCGAATGATTCTATTCTCTAATTGAAATAACTCAGTAAAATGTTTCGTTGATCTTCTTCTAGAGATGTGCTGTGAGAGCAAACGCATGATGGAGAGTTTCGGTAAAAAATTAACTTAATATGCTGAAAACTTTTTATCAACAAAACATTGAAATCTTGTTGTTGATACTTATCTAGCTGCGAACAAGGTTAATTTAAGTTTTCAAGTCGTAGAAATATGCACGTGATAATGTTTTGCATTGTTAACTGAAGAAGCAAATAAGTATCTTTTTTATTCTGCGTTTTCTTTTGCACATATTTCATCTTGTCCTTTAGCTACGTTCTGAGTTTTCTATCCGTTCTTTTTATTTTTCCTTCAGCTTGTTGTTTTACACGACGTTAGATAAAAAAATATTTTCCTGTTCTGTTGAGTCAAAAATCAACAAAAAATGCCGATCAAACATTCGAACACCATTGAGAGTAGGGCATAAACGCTGTATGTAAGAAAACTAACGTATGGAATAGAAGAGCCTTGGTATAGTTCGTTCTATCTAGAGAAATGCCGACATTAAATTTTATCATGTAGAAGTATCAATGGTCACGGGAGGGTTTTTGTTGCTGGATTTAACGAAATACATAAATTTATGGGGAAAAACTGTACATATTTTCAAATAGAACACAAAATTCAGATTTCGTAAAACATTCTGAATAGAAATCATTTTGTGAAAAAAACTCTGAGTAAATAATTCAATAAATTATATTGGATTCATCGATTAGGAAAAATACAACATGAGAAAAGATAACTAGAAGCATAAATAAATATTTTCAATTGTTCAGTAAAATATACTTATTTTTAATGGGTTTATTTCTATTTTATTTTTTAAATAAGGGAGATGAATTGTTTTTAGTTTCAACAGATAAAAATTGAAAAATTACATCTATAATGATATACTACACATAGTGTCTCAATTTACTTAAAATAAACATTTTTTTAGCACAAGTATGTTAATCACATTATTAACACTGGTGTAATCGTGTGTAAAAAAACTGACCAAGTTTCTTTAATTAAGAAACATTTCTATGCAATGGTAGAACATCTTTCAACGGATTACTTCATAGAAATGTTGTAAAATTTACCTAGAAGAAAAAATAATTAAAACTCTTCGGAGATTTGATAAATTATAATAAAAATTTTTAAAGGTTTTCTCTGTGAGACGATTCATTAAATTTTCTATTACATAATTGAATAATTACTTATTAGAAAAGCACTCATTTATAGTCGTTGATGAACATTAAATTTTCATAAAATTATCCGTTTAGTTAACAAAGCTATGTTGTCATAGAAATCATTTTGAGTATCTCACAAAATATTTTTCTACTACTACTTATATTGTAATATTTAAGAACTAGTCAACTCCTGATTGAAACATACATATATATAAAGTTAATATTTCGGTAGATGATCTTTTTCAGAATAAAAGAATATCGATTACTGAAAAACAGCTTTGTCAATCAAAAAACAAATCACATTTGACTTTTTTTTTATTTATAATAATGAGAGAAGTCTATTGTTGAACGCCAAAGAACAACTTTCAATAAACGAAACGTCCCTGATAGGAATTAAAAATAATTATATGGATTGAGAAACATACTAGTATCACAAAACTGGAATATTAAAAGATATTCATTGATTTGCTTGTTGAATATTGCTTTTCAAAAGACAAATTTCTGTTCGTTTTACATTCTTTATGTGGTTTTTGGTTATAAACCGTGCGTGTTGCATTAATTCTAATTTATGTCAAAGTAGGATTTATCGAATTAATATAACAAATAGTGTACTCTCTCTCTCTCTCTCTCTCTCTCTCTCTCTCTCTCTCTCTCTCTCTCTCTCAAGCTAAAATATCATTGTGTGGAAGTGAAATATTGAAGATTACTTCAAAGGATAATGATTAAAGAAAATAGAAATCATTGCTCATCAGTTCGAAAATTTTCAGTCTTAGTATGTTTTTGTATGTGACTTTGTCTGTTTAAAACGAATTATTTTAAGAGCATTAATTTGCTATTGATTTAATCAATTTGATAGATTTTTTAAAATGATTTAGGTACAATTCAATTGGACATTAGTTGATTTTGATCGTTCAAATGTTTACTTTCTTACAGTGTTAATGGCAATCATCTTTAATAACGTTGCTGTTTTTTTTAGTTCATTTCTCTATGTATTTGTGCTATATCAATTAACTTTTTTTATTCTATCGATTAATTGAAAAATGAAGTCATGCTTTTGTTTGACTAACACAAAAGGCATGCTTATCATTTTACTTGAGTTATTCTTAATACAAAATAAATATGTTCATCCATCTCAAAATTAGACATCTATGTTAATCTGAGGTATATCATCTGACAATGATAAGCTGCCGTAGACGTGATCATTTATTTCTGTTGACCTCTTTTACTCTGAGCATTTATATATAAAGAATTGTATGTGTTCAATATTGTCTATCATTCATTTGTCAACGTACACAATAATACTTGCTCATTGTATTTCGTAAAATTAAGTTAGTAGATTTGCTTTTATTTCAATATAAAAGTGTCTATTCGTTTTATTTTAGCTAAATAAAATAATGTATCGATTAATTAAGTTTAATCTTTGTTTTATTATTCTTATCATATCTATTTATGGCAAAAATATTGATGAATTTTATAAAACATTAAATGATGATCCAAATGATGATCCCGTTGATCTATCCATGTCACCTACTACAACCAAACAAAATAAATTATCATTAGCATCAATGAGTTGCATTGAGTCTCGTCGATGTGGCTGCTATAAAGGTTACTGTTGGGCATATGTTGATGAATATCAAATGCCAACAACTGGTTGGTGGTGTTTTACTCAACAAGAAGGTATACGTGGTAAACAAAAACAATGGGCAAAGTGCACAAATAGTACGCAATGTTCATGGAGTATGACTTGTGGAGATTGTTATACATATGTTGGGAAAAGGACAGGTATCAAAACAGATCAAATTCTTTGTTAAAACTTTTTCTTCCAAACGTATTGTATTAATTCAAATTAATAAAACTTCAATGTTTTTCTCAGTTATTACATAATAAATTTTAACAATTTGATTACGAATATTTGTTGTTGACAAGAAAATGAATCGCTTTTATTAAGAATGCACAGCTCAAACTTTTGCAATAGTGATGATGTCGATTTCGTCTACTAAAATTATGTTTATCGTCAATATTTTATAGCGCGACGTTAACCGTTACGAGCAGATTCATCTTATTGAAGTCATAATCAATACAATTCGACTAAAAAATTGAAGAGTACATTAAAAATTAAATGAATTCATATTTTTGAACGAATACGCTTTTCATTTCAATTGATTTATAGATAAACATCAAGTAAAAACTAATATCTAAATAACAATTTTTGAATCCATCGAATTTCAATTATGACGTTAAACTCATACAAAAAGCATAATATATTACTCAGGGTTTTTCTATATACTTCACATTAGAGTTACCATTCTAAATATTCATTGAAAATCATATGTATAGATATAAAAAATTTAAGATTTTGGTGCTATACTTTTAAAAAAATGGCAAAAATTTCTTGAATCTCGTAAGAGACATTTTGTAAGAGTAGCCAGTCAATTGGAAGCATTGAACATCGTACATCAAGTTCATAAACATAGAATTTAGTATTGTTATTCTATTCCGAATTTTAAAAAAAATCATTTTTGTTAAATAAATAATACACCTGTCGAAAAAATTGAGCGTCTATTATTCTGATCGAATACAGTAATGATATATCAAAAGACATCGCTGAAAATAGAGAAAGACCTTCATTTTATTTTGTTGAATACATCTGAGTGGGATTCTTGTTTTGAAGGAAAACATCATCGTTTTACGAAATATTTGTATAGTTACGAATAAAAATATATTTGAGAAATTAAGTGTAAAAACAATAAATATAGACATTGTTAAACATTCATCTCTTTGTACTCTTATTTTACTAAACAAATCTAATACGCTTTTAAAAGATTGAATATAAATGTTTAAATTAAATCTTCTCTATTAATTATGGTTCCTGGATTAGAATTCACAATAAACTGCATCTTACATAAAAAACAGTGTCGAATATTCGCTACATATTATCATTGTAAATTTTGTTCAAAAATACCACTTAGTCGTTTGTTTTTATACATTCAAGCTTCCTGTGATGTAGTGTGAAAAATATAAATAAAGAAAAACAAGCAAATGAAGGCATAAAATTTGAATTAATATAATATATTAAGAAACTGTACATACAAATACAAGATAAAAAATGCCATTAGTTTAAACATGTCAATAGTTTACATAGTTCCATAAAAAATTTTCATTCAAACATTGTTAGGAAGATATTTTATCAACTGTCCAATTTACACCAACTAAATTTTACATTTTTACTCAAAACAAACTCATGCTTTTCTCAACAAAGCATCTTTATCTTGATTTTATTTTTCATTTACACAGTGTGGTTCATTTTCAAAATAAGTGAATAGTTAATACTAATGAATAATTCAAGCCACGAAGACACACAAAACTAGCTTTGGGAAATATTTTTAACTCGAAAAGTGGCTCATAAGCATTGATGAGCTGATTTCCTTCAAGTGTAATTTTCAATCGGTGAATTGACAAAAAACAGCAATTTTATTGTGCATATCATTATTCAGAAGGCTATTTGTTTGCGTTTCTCATATATGTTTTACGAAAGGCATGAAATTGTTTTGAGTTATTGAGTTCATCCAGTCCTATAAATTGATTTCAACCACTGATCGAACTGTTTCGAAGTATACACAAGAGATTAGTCATACTGATTTCGAATTAACCTATAGAGAGAAATTCACCTTGGCTAATATATTAGTGGCATTTACTTGAGTTCATCTGGATCGAGCAAATTCATAATTTCCAAAGCTTATCTTTCTCTTTCGATTGTTCTGTTGAAAATCAATGTTTTTCTCGCCTAAAAACACAAGCCAGCAGTTGTATACAGCCTAGTGGTTTTAGTTTGATGGTAAGATATATGTAAGTATTCAGAGATAATAAGTGATAATTCCCTATCTATTTACAAACTTCTCAATTTGAGTAATTACCAATATGTAGAATATTTAAACAGTCCAATTTCTATTAACTTGTGAGTCAGTGCATGAGTAATCGCCACAAATTGATAAATGTGCGCCGAATCGAGTAAACTGCGAGTCGGCGAAGAACAGTTATGTAACCCTACAGGCAGGTTGAGTTCAATTATGAGCTAGACATGTTAATAGATTAAATCAAATAAAAAATCTCTAACTAACGTATCTGTTTTGAAGAGCTCAGTGTTGTCAACTGATTATCAAAATATTTCGACTTTATCTTTTTTTAAAGTTTTCATTCGGTGATTGTTTCAGGCAATGTTAAATCTCAAACTGCAATCGTCATATTGTTCGAATTGTGCCTTGCTTGTTAATAAACTATATATAATATGATATTAATCCATCATAACTTAATCAACAAGTGAATAATTAAAATAAACGAAAATATTCAATATTTTTCCCGATGATTGACTACTAGAGCAGTTGCATTTCCATTTTGTTGTGTTTAAGAAACTTTTGCGATTGATAGAATCTTTTCATTATTTTTAAATCATCTCGTATTAATTGCTACATGGATAAAAAAACTCGGAACATCTTAAATTTAATTCGAAACTTTTTTCTTAAAAACGAAAGAAAAGGATGCGATCTGATCTGGCTAGCGTTTCAGTCACTAGAAATCAATACACCACGATACTTCGTGTCAGCACACCTGGATTCCAAACAAATAAATTTATGCATAGATATTAAAATTTTTTACATTGGGCTGAATATTATTTTTGCAAACGAAGTTGATGAAATGGAGAAGTTTCTTTTACTGAATTTGGAACTTCAGGAAATATAAAAAAAATGATAACACATATTCATACGTGCGTGCCATACTATTTATTTCATTATGAAAAACTAATTCTATTGAACTATTGATTACCTATTTAGATTAGCATGGCTTTCGAGTATATCTTATTATTTTCGATTCTCTTTGTTTTTTCTTCTAGCGATAGTAATATAATAGTTTGATTTTTAACAGATTATCATCGACGGCAGAAAAGAAAACAATAATCGAAAATAATAAAATATATTCAAAAACCATGCTTATCTAGATAGATAGATAATTAATTGTTCAATAGCATTAATTTCTCATAATGAAATAACCATTATTGCATGCATTTGGTCGGATCCTATTAATTTGCAGTATTCAATACTATGGCCCAATTATTTCACATGAAAGTGTTTGCAAGTTTTTTCAAAAAATCTAATCATTATTTAAAACTTGCTAACAAAGAAAAAGAACAATAATAATAATAATAATATCAGCTTTCTATAGATATTTGTTATTATGTTCTCTTACATGTTTGAAAGAACACAAGAATAATCGAATATGACACAGCACATTAATATTAATATTGAATTAATTTCTTTTTTCTTTTCATGGTTTAATCCACTAAACATCTATCTATTTATATTCGACGATAAGTGTCAAATTTATCGTGTTTACCAAAACTTTTTGTTCACGCTTTTGCTAGAAAAACTGGCACACTCAACATAAAATGCTCAGCTGAACTCAAGTCCATATTTATTACTTCAGTATATTTTTGCATGACGTAAGCTAATTATCTTTATTTTAAATAAATCTTCCTTTTTTTATCCGATAAGTCTTAGAAAAATATTTCATAGCATATCAATTGATGTATTGATCACATTTCAGGATATTGTTGTATTTCTATTGTTGACTTTTAAAAATATCGTAGATATCATCCATTAAGCTCTATCAGTTTGTAGAGTTCAATCAGTTCAATATTTTTTTCTGGAGTGCTTCTTCTCGTGTTGTGTCTTCCGAACATTCAGACTAATTTTACATTATAAAAGATTTTAGCGCTTGAGTAGCGGAAACCTTGAATGTCAACATGCAACGTATTGATGAATTAATAAAATTTCTCAAACAAGTTAAAATAGTAGACAGTTATTTGTGTAATCAAACTCCTATGCACTAGTTAATGTTTGCAGATACATACATAACAGAACATTTTCTCATTTGAGATCTTTTTATTTTTCTTTTTGAAAGTCGTAATAACATTAATTTATAATAAAAAAATAAGAGAAATTCTTGTTGAGATAACAAATTGTTTTTATTAATCTGTCAACGAAGTACATTCTTCTATTATTTTTTTCTTTATGTACTGAAATTTTCTCATTCTGCTTTCTGATGCTTATCTTCGTTGTGCTCAAGTTCCGGTGCTTGAACTTCCTTGTCCATCGTTTCAGTTTCCGTTTTATCGCAAGAATAATATTCTTTTCAAAAATTTATTTATTTTTCTACTTTTTTCTTATAGTTATTATTAACACGAAGCAGGAGACACTGTGTGATGAAACTAAATTTATATAATTATATATTCTTCGATATTAGATTATTATTAACACTGATATTCTTGCTTCTAATATAATAAATATTTTTTTCCATCTTGATAATTGTATAAATACTAAAGTTAACACTGTCCTATAAATTTGTACTAGCACAATTGTTAGTTAAAATAGAAAAGACCTAGGTAATAACTTAGTTCTATCAGTTAATCAAGCTTCTCGTCAGACATAATTGTTGTCTCTGAAAATATATTTCGTGCCATGTTAGAAATTGATTCGGCTCTCAACAATCATAATGGTAACAAGACAGAGTCACAATTTATTTTAGCTACATTCCTATGAGTTGTTATGTCACCACAGAAAGAGAAAAGATGGATTCAACAGTTTGATCTAGAATGTTTGTTTATAAACAATCACTTTCTGTATCATCATGAAAACAAATGTAACAAACAATAGTTAATTAGTCTTACTCTCTCAGGAAACTATTTTTGGTTGCATAAATTCAAATTATATTAAACTATTAGTGTATGTTAAGATCTCTTTTCAAGAAACATTTAGGTAGCAACAGTCAACAAAAAAATCCCGGTGCAAGTCTTAGTTCGGTGCGTTCCTTCTTCCTATATATATTTTTTTGCTTTAAAGTGCATGCCAACCTTTAAGGTATGGCATAGGTGTTTTTAATGCAAACTCATCATTTGTATGCATAGAACAAAGATGAAAAATTCAGTGTCTTGAAAACATTTCAAAAACAAATGCCGCTCGAGTTATAAAAAAATACTCTTATATCATATAAGGAAAAGACTTTATTCAAAAAAGAGGGACTCTATCATGTTGTGTATTTTGACATGCTCTCTGAAACAATAGAAAGAAAAATATAGAATGAAGAGTTATAGTAAGTTTTGAATTGCACTATCAAAAAAAAAGCATAAACAGAGAAAAAGAGGGTTTACCATGCTTTAGTCGAAAGTATATATATCGAACGAGCAAAATGTCGACAGGAAAAAGTTTCTAAGTATAAAAACAACGAAAATAGTTGTATCAGACGATTAGTAGATACATTTATATTGTGATTATAGTTATTGGTTGATTACGTTACCCATTCATTTCTTAACTTGAATTCGTGTCTTTGCCGACTAAAATTTAGCAGAGACGCCTTTTTTGTAAGAATTATAGAAAAACTATTAAATAGTAAAACTTTGATAAACAGTATGTCGATTTCTCCGGATTCAAGTTTTGATGCAAACCCAGGTCCAAGCAACCGGCCCGGGAAACGGCCGGTTCCCGCGCATTCGCGCGATTTCACAGAAGCAGTATTCCGGACCGGGAAATCTCCGGATTTTTCCTGTATGTTCCGCCAAGCTCCTGTTGGTTCCCGTCGGAAATCACCTGGAAAATCCGGAGAAATCCGCCCCGGAATACTGCTTCCAGGGTCCGGTGATATCCGGCGTTTTCCTGCACGTTCCGGTGCGTTTCCTGCATGTTCCTGGCCGGTTCCAATTAAGTCCGCTCATTTCCGGAGGCCGGAAACATCGTCCTGGGAATGAAAACTTATCCTTCATTACATCGAACAAAGGTCACCCATTATTAGTTATGAATGAACAATTATACAAATGTAATAAGAAGATGGCCCCTTAAAAAATATTGGATTTGCATTGTTAGTGGATGCTCAATGGTAGTTCACACGGATGAAAATGATGTTTATTTATACGGAGGTAAATGTGATCATCATGATCAATCAAATTCAGACGTCATTCAACTCAGCAGGTCTACTGACTGGCTTATTATTAGTTGTTGAACCAAAAAAGAAAAGTATAGAAACCCAATTTACGACTGAAGAATAGTTATTCATCGAGCATGATTCTGCATTTTTAAACAAATTTTGTTCCGAACGTTTTTTCGATAAATAAAACTTTTAAACAAAAAAAATACTTTAATCTTTTTATACGCACAGAACTAAAATAAAAAATTTTAACATTTATCAGTGGAAATTTTTACCTTTCGACATCTTTATTTTCGACCAAAGTAGGGTTCACACTGCTGTCTAGTATTACAACATAGATATGAATAAATATACATTGATAAATATATTTTTTAGTGTCGTATTTTTAATAGGTGTCTTTGTTTTGATAAACATGTTGCTATGATTAATAGATAATAAATAAATATCTTTTTTATTTTGTAAACAATGAATTCGAATGTAACCTAATGCGTTGGTCAATTATTTCAATCGATTAATAATACCGAATGTAATTTAGCACGTATAAGTGGATTGATTACATTATTTGTATCTTTATTTTCAATTTTATTTAACATTCGTTTTTCTTTATTGACCATTTCATCATCAACAATATCGTTCTCATCATTATTTATTGATTTTATTGATGATATTTTCATCGGTATTAGCTATGATTGTAATAGTACCATCAGTTGTTTCACAAAATTTGACATGTCATCGTTAATGTTCAGTATTTTATTGTCAATTAGAAGGTTTTGTATCTTATTAAAATGAATGTGTTCATATGTTTATATTACTGGTAACATCAATCATTCGTTATGGTACAGTTCTTCCGACAAATAAAACAAAAATATTTTCAACAACACTCGTATATAAGCGTGGTTATTTGTTGGTTAATTGCTCTTATTTTTGTGTTACCACCATTATTCAATTGAAATAAATATCTACCAGCAGGACTTGGTTTTCATTGTGGATTAAATTGATCAGATCTATCAATAAGTTTTCGTTTAAATTTAATGTTAGTATTTTCATTTGTTTATTGTATTCTATTGATTCTTTTATCAATTGTAAATATTTATGTCCATTGTATTATTCGTCATCTTCTTCATGAAGTATTAAGAATGAATAGGTGGCAGTCATTCAATAAATTATCAAAAATAAATTGTTTGTTGGTAAAAAAAATGTTCACTGCCATCATTTAACTCATCAAGTGATAGTAGTATAACAAAATCAAATAAATTTGTCGAAGTTAAATTATCGAAATTTCCAACTGTTGATAAACATGTAAGATCTGCTCCTGTTACATGTCCTCTTCAAATTTGTTATGCAATGCGTTTACATCGTTTGAAAGCTGATCGTCATTTTGCTTTAGTCACCAGTGGCCAAAACAGACCGCGTCTTCGAGGCCTGTGGGCGTGTCAACGTTTTTGAAGCTAATACAATAATGATGAGAGACTAAAAACTAGAGTTACATACAGAGCACCGAGTGTATTTTTATACCTGGAGGTAACCGATCTGTCATAGGCATAGACCACAAATTTCGGACCAGTACTTATCAGAGGTTCAAGCAATTTTTGGCCTGTCTGAGCCTGCTTTGGCCTCTGTTAGCCAGCATATTTTTAATCAGTGAACATTTACTTAGTTGGACGCCATATGCTTGTGTTACCTTAGTTTATTTGTTTCATGTTAAATTTCTCACTCAACAATCATATCTAATAACAATCAGTGCATTTATCGCTATAGTATCAATGATTATTAATCCATTTATCAGTTGAGGAAAATGCTTTTAATATCTGAAAAACTAGTGTGAACAGAGCATTTGAATGTTCTAGTAATTTACTTGACTTTTGTAGTATGTATTATTTAGTTCTTAATATTTGCCATTCATAATTTTAAAGAGATTTTTAATTCTTGAAGTTGATAAGAAAATGCATGTTCGTAGATAATTGGTCATGAAAAATTCTTGAAAATAGCTACCTTATATTTTAGCGAGTTTCGAAATAATATACAAAAACTATTTAAATGACATATCACGTTTTACCAATTGTTTTCGAGAATATGTTTTTCATGTCATAGTATATATATATCAGTATTTGCCTTAATGAATAGTTTAGAATAATGTGTAGAGCAGTTTTTTTTATTTATGTTCTCATAGTCTCAAAATTTCTTTATTTTATATATATATATGAGAATTTCATTTCTTTTCCGAAATCTAAAGACTGATATTGTTTTTGAAAGTGTTGTAAATTTGAAAGTATAACTTACTAAAGCCTGCAGACTTGATAGCTATTGACATATTTATCATCTCAATAAACTATTCAGATGTGACTTATTTTAGTACGAATCAAGTTAAAATATATTTATTTTCAAAATTCATTCAAAAATTAGAATTTTGAAAATAAAAATAAAAAAGAAACTAATAATATTTTTTCATGTTGAAATATTTTGATTCCTTCACTTGGTGTTGTTGTTATCGTAGGTTTTGGAATAATATTGTCTGCAGCTAATTGTTGAAGAACTTGATTTATATTGTCATTCGAGTTACACATTGGTTTATTACAAGTAAATATAATAGAAATTTGCTCTCCACCTAAATCAGCCATGGTTGATTTTTGTATTGTTATACCATATGGATTAGAAACTAATCCTTTTGCAACACAATTTGAATATTGTACTTTTGAATTTCCATCAAAAATCGACCGACAAAATCCATCTGCACATGATACAGATGAACCAGATGGATCTGCACATGTCAAACTTGAAACAGGAGTTGATGATGAATATAATTTAGTAGCCAATGCATTTTGAATTGTTTTATAGTCAAATAAACGAACTAAAGCGAAAGAAACAAAAGGGGTCTTGATTTTAATTTAAATATATTTTAAAATTAACCGACATTCATCTCTGTATATTTTTTTGAGAAGATCTACACCACAACTTGCTCCAGCAAAACATAAAATATTCGCCATACGTTGAACACGTAATTCATTAAACCAAATGAATGTTACCTCACTTAATTGAGGTTCCCCATTAGTCAAAATTAGTGCTGCTTCTTCAGAACCACTGAAAATAGCAAAACTACTATTACTATTTGTATAATCAATACGTAATACAAGTGAACACAGTTCGTCTTCTTCCAATTTACATCCGGTAGTATCTAGATCTTTATCAGTCGTTATATTAATACGCATTGAATTTGAACAAGTTGTACATGACACTGTTGCATTGGATGGTTTTATACCGAAAATAAATATTATTACTACCAAAAAAAGAGTTGCTTTAATACTTGACATTGTGCACGTTTAACGGGGGAAAATGATAACAAAACGGTATATTCATTTATTTTATACAAGAACTCAACAAAAAGAAGATGTGGCTGACTCATGATAGATACGAACTGCGTTGATATCTATATGAATAGTTCAAGTGTATTGTGTTGAAATTGACGTCAGAAAAGACTACTGGTTGTGATGCGAAAAGAAAACTTCACTTTTCATCAAGTGTCTACACTCAACAAGAGTCACATAGTGATATAAGTTGTTTATCTCTGACGCATATGTTCGTAGTAAAACGTATCAAATTCGAAAACATGCAAGTATATTAATTGATTCTTTAATAAAGATTGGGTTTGTGTTATTACGAGGGATGCCCAAGGACTGAGGATTAGGAATTCCTCATCAGTTCTTTGCATACTAAAGGTAAAAATATGGAATATTCACGATAATTTTTGTACTTACACTCATTTTCACTTGAAAAATTGTGAAAATCAATGATTTCATGCAAAAATTATTTTTAAAACAGCAATATCGCAACTTTCGTGAATGATGGACCTGGGAGGGAACCCATAGTTGACTCCCATTTCCTCTAGAAGTTATCAGAGCGGCACTGACAATTCTCGACACATTAGGAATTCCTATTTCTCAGTTCTTGGACGCTGCTAAAACTAAATTAATAAAAAAGTAAAAATACACTCGTTTAACTAAATCAAGGTATGTTATTGGAAGATAGATTCAATCGATTAAGAAGTGTTGTCATGATGCTTTAGTGTTAGGTTCTGTATCATGAACGATTGTAATTTTTCAATTAAAAAGATTTTGAATTTCTGGCGTATCTACCATATCATCTTGCTGTTCTTGAATGGATTCTTTAGCAATTCCATTTTGTTTTGTATTGAAAATATTATTTGCACTTCCATGAACGACTATTGTTGGAGTTGCTAAACGCTTTTTTAGATTTCTTCTCAAATGTTTCTTACTAATTTGCTTTGGCGTATACATAAGATAAATTTTACAATAACAGACATGTCCAATACCCATGACTCCAACAATGGCAGATGCTAGAAGGATGGATTTGATGAGTAACAGTTTATGTGCAAACCATCCGCTAAGACCGCCGCAGCAGAAGCTTGCATACAAGGGAACCAAAACTTTCAGCTTCCAGAGATGTTTACGTGTTCGTGGATAAAAGAGAGCTTGTCCCAAAACGAGACCAATATCTGTGAGTACGCCTGTCATATGGGTTGTACGAATAACGGCACCAGAAAACGTTGTACACATACCATTTTGAAGGCCACATGTAAAAGCTACTAAACACGCACCCGTATATAAATATATAGAGGAGTTTTGTTTCAGACGCGATGCAGATTCCTACAAGAAAATATTTATTGAAACTATTGTTTTCGAACACTATTCATTTAAAAGTCGTAGACTTATATCAGAAACATAGATCTTTAGTAGATACATGTCTTAGAAGAAAATGAATAATGGTCTATCAAACTCGACATAGAAAAATGAGTGAATCAAATGCAAAACGAATTTCTGATGTATGTCTGGACGGACAGGCTGTTTTTCTTTTAAGAATGTTTTCATTATATTTATTCTTAAAAAGTATTAAAAGAATTCTATCATTAAGTTAAAATTCTTACTATCTCTAGAATTGAGTATACTTTATTGGCACAACAAAAAAAATCTTTGAGCTTTCTAAAATTTAGTTGAAAAATCTATGGAAAATATTAAGAACTTTCTTGTTTCTTACTTCACATAAGTAACTAAAGGCAAGTGCAAATGATTCTAGAACGAGTACCAAACCATAGGATCGTTGAATTCGAAACGATGAACCACCTATTAACGCTGCAGAAATGAAACTGCCGAATATGAACGAAAATATTAATAGTATGTAATAAAATGTCTTGCCAAGATTTAGTTGTGCCAATTCAATAACCATTCTTGATGTAGAGCCTGTGAAGCCAGCTATTGATGATTGAAACAAACTAGCAATACAGATTGTATTGATGTAACCTGCGAGGAAGGATAATAGACAACCGGTTACAATTAAAACTAAAAAGGGACCAAAATTGTAGGATCGAATGTGTATCGTTGGATTAACGATTGTTGGACGGCGAGCTGCAAGACGCATTTTGTTTATTTTCTAAAACACTTAAACAAAATGAAGGAGCATTGTAAAAATTTAATTGATATCTCATCGTATTGAAAAGTATGTTTCAATAAGTTTTACATTGACAATAAATATTTCATAATGGAATGATAAACTGAGGCAACTTTTACAGACATTAATAGAATCATCTTTTATTGTTTTTTCTTTTTATATGCCTAAAGAAATCGTAAGCGATTTTTGACAATAGTACCGCTTATGTTTTTTTGTAAGAACCTTCAGCAGACTAGTAATTATCAGCATACGCTCTGTTCATTTTTGTTGTATAATCTTTCTTTTTTTTCAAACAAAATAATACAATATATGGTATTTAACGGAGCTCAAATAGTTTATTAACAATGACTACTACCTGTGACTTCAGTTTGTTGCTTTTCATCAAACCATCAGGTTGGATGAATTCGTTATTTCTTTATTTTTTTTATAAATTCTTTGCATGGACACAAATATTTTTATTGCATTTATTTCGTGACACTGTCATCGCCTCAGACATTCGCTTTTTCTCTACACTATTTGATTCGGTCAAATACAGTGAGAGAATGCAATACAAACAACAGACGATTTTTTTACGCCCATTAAAACTTTTGAATTATCGGTGATTTTTAAAAAAAAGTTGCAGAAATGAACAATTAGCTACGAGCTGAATGAAGAAAAAAACTATGAAGTGTTTTTTTTTCTTTTAAAGTAACTGCAACAAAGAAACAATCAAATAAATATATTGCATGAAACATAATCAGCTGAGGGAATTATCGAATACGAAGATTCTCTACACTGTTGATTCTAGTGAATCGACTACCACTAGAAAAAGATTCAAATTAATGGTTCATTTTCGAAGTATATCTCTGCATGTTTTCAACGTCAAGTTATGTCTTCTGATTAACATTCAATTAATTGTATTTAAGTGGCAGATCACATGCATCGACGAATTCTTTACTTGTTAATATTGTATCGAAATGCATTGTCATCACACTCAACTTAATCCAACATTTAGATTTAACATTTCTGGTGAGATTTTTTTGACGTGTAGTCTAACATTTGTTTTTACTAGTTATCAAGTTTTTGGATTTAGATTATTCTTTATATGAATTTTATGATGGTGCAAGAAATGTCCACCGAAGATGGTAAGCTTTTCATTATTTTTTACAAAACGCTCTTGCTTTGTTTATATAGTCAAATCAATCAGGGTTCATATCTGTTTGAATCTGACAAGTTTATATAGAACATAAAATAGTCATTTTTATAAAGTAAATAAATGTAGATATCCAGTTCTGTGAGCAACAAAGAAGAACTCTTTGATGAAAGAAAAAAGGAGATAAATAAAAAGAGACTAGATGATATGACTGTATCTTGTCTAGTTGAGAGCTACGTCAAAATTAAGTCGAAAAGTGGATGTCATACATGTTTTGCTCCTAAATCTGTTGTCAATAAAAATAATAAAACAACAAATAATATGAAAATCTCAATCGTTCTTGTGAACAAAGCAAACCAATGACACAAATATAAAAAGGTGCCAAGCATGGTTGAGACATAGACAATATTAGACAAAACATTTTCTGAAATTTGTAAAGAATTAAAAGAACAAATTTATAATAAAGATGTATATTAATTTATGTAAAAGCTTGATTGAATTTGTCAGCATAGAGTTATCGAGTGTTGTCAATTTAATATTAGTTTGTCTTGAGAAACATCTACAATATTTAGGATATTTTAGTTGATATATTCTCTGTTATTAGAATAATAGTTATTTTCTTTCGAAATCCAGCACCCTAAAATTCCTCAAAATGTACCTATTTATAAAAGTAAAAGTAGCCAATAGTTTTTCTTGAATTTTTTGTTTTAATTAACGAGTTGTGATTTTCATGAATTTCTTACCGAAGGATGCGGGTAAGAGAGAGAAACTGGCGAAATCCTCTTTTTGTTTTGATTTTACAATTTATGGGATACTCAATGAAGTAAGATTGAATTTCTAATTCTTCATACTTTGAGCAATGTTTATTTCATTGTCTCAACTAGTTTTTTAAAATATCTCTCGAATGCTCTATGGAATTCTATATGAATCGGGTGAAATCCAATATAACCTAAGGGTTATATATTGATTTTCTTGAGATCCTGTTTAACAGAAATAGATATGATAACCAATCTATAGAGAAGATTTACGCTTTTATAGAAAAATAATTTACTCTATTCAATATCAAGTATAAAACGAAACTAACATAAAAAATATTGAGTTAAATTCAATTAGCATATCATATTTTAAATAAAAAAGAGATCAATAATATAAACTTATACCATCTATTTCTCAAACATTTTTGGTTAAAAATAAATCTTATGAAGCAAAATTTTATCTATTGGTAGTTTCTGAAGTTAATTGAACCTCTGCTCGATAAATTATCAAATCTTAGATACATTTTTTCTTGGAAATAGTACATGCTTCTTTACAAGAATTTTGTTGAATGTTAACATTCTTTGTGTCAGCAAAATTTCATACTTGAATGTAGGAGAGAGAGAGAGAGAGAGAGAGAGCGGTACTGAATAGTCCCTTTGATAACTACATATATACCATGTCGCTACCTATAGATTTTAGACAATAGAGGATTGTATCTCAATTATCGGTGTTCATATTCACAGAATGATATGCAATAAAAACACATACTGGATGTGGCAAAAGTGTTGTAGCATTTTTTCTCTTGCAAATATTCTGATAGGGAAATAGCACACGATTCTAAAGTTCTCATCAACCGATACAGAATTCAATTCTCTACAAACTCATGTTAACTTTAATTTAAAACGATGAAACAAAAAGTATTTATTGGTTAATATATGTGACTCATCCAATAGCAATTGTGTCCTCCGCAATCTTTTATATATTTCCAAGGTTCTTTTCAAATTCTAAGAATGAATCTAAGAAGCTTGATTTCTTGTAATTGAATTCTGCATCACATGCACCTTCAGGGATGTCTATAAGTATTTGATAACAATCTATATGGGCATAACACAAATCTCCTGACTGAGCATCTACAGCAAAAATAGCTTTTTCATAGGATTTTAATTCTTTTTAGCTGATACATTTAAATAACGTCTTATTTGAGCTTCTCATAACCAGACAAATCAATTCTCTAGTAAATTCTGACAAAATTAGGTCGATTCAATGATGAGTACCATTTAAAAAAGCCTGCATTGCGAAACCACTAGCTTGAGGATGAAAATGATACTTTTTCAAAAAATTGACCTAGTGTCTAATCAGAAGAATACGCTTTAGAAAACATTATATCGCACGCAATCGATAGAGCTTTTCGAGTTGTGTCTGGCAGTGGCTTATATTTAGAAAAATTAAATACTTCTTAACAGAAAAGAAAAACATATGACGAAAAAATGTGTGGGACATAAATGTTATTTATTGGACCATATACATTAATCAATAAAAAGTTTTGGTTTCATCGTTTTAAATTAACGTTAACATGTCTCTGTAGTGAATTGATTTCTGTATCGGTTGATGAGAAATTTAGAAACGTGTGCTGTTTCCCTATCAGAATATTTGCAAGAGAAAAAATGTTCCAACACTTTTGCCACACCCGATATATGTCATTGGTATTGATGATTGTACAAACTCATTCCTTCATTAACCATACGAAGTGGTCAGGACTAATCAGGCCAATCCACTCAAATAAAGCTCTTTATGAAAAAAATTAACCATACGAGCAATAAACAGAAAATAATGACAGATGAAAGGTAATATTCCATTCATTGTTTTATTAACGACACAGAAAAATGAGTATGAATCAATCATGATACATGCTATTTTAATTTAATATAATTATAAGTCATACAAAAGGCTAAATTGACTATCGAGTGAATGGAATAAAAACCATGTCAGTACAACTTCCATAGAATATCTCAACTACAACGTCCCATTGAAATGTTACAAAGTCTGTTCGTATGTTTCTATCGGCAACATCACTTGAGTAATATTGATATGAACGAATCAAGTAATGAGAGTTTTGATTTTGAAAACAGTACGTTGTAATATTTACTTCAGCCCAGTAACTGTTTGAATTTCCTACAAGAATCTCTGTACTTCACTTCACCAATGCGTCAATCTCTTATATACAGCTGAGTGCTATTCGAATAGGCACAGCACATATAACGAAATATTTTGAGTAGATTATATTTTTTTTTTATTAATTTACCCGATATTTAATATAGTATTGAGAGCCGATGATGAATATATAAGTTTTATTTCAGCTAGTGAATTTCGACAAGCGTACTACAAATTTTTTTTGTTTTCAATAATGAATTTTATTTTACGACAAATATATGCAATATCGATCATGGATAGAAGATTGAGCTTCGAGCATCGCATTGCCAAGCACCCCAAGACATACGTCCTTGCACCAATACGGATGAAGGATTTTGACTATGGGTCTACGAAAATTGGTCGCCGATAATTGGTCGATACGAAAATTTGGTCGAAAATTTTGTAATAGAAGAACAAAAGCTTTTTCTTTAAAAAGCAGCCAGAACTTTGTAGTGTAAAGCTGAAACTAGCACTAACTGTAATATCATGTTAATATTAGAGGAAAATAGTGATTCGGACAAATAAATTAGGCATGCATAATAAAGGAAAAGTAGTTTAGAACTTTAGAAGAAGACCTTATAATTATTTTAGTAACGTTACCTGTTTTGAGAACACGGTGAACACCTCAGCCGCACCTACACCCTCATCCTCACCCACACCATCACCCTCAAGATACACTTCGGACTTAGAGTTTTCCTTTAAAAGCTTTTGTTTTTCTATTACAAAATTTTCGACCAATTTTCGTATCGACCAATTATCGGCGATCAATTTTCGTTCGACCAATTTTCGCTCTCCCAAAAACTACATATTGATAATTGACTCTTGATTTTCATTTCAATTCGTACAATCGATGAGGCCATGCCAAGATAAAAGTCAAGTGAGAAAAATATTG